CTATTTATTTCTTATAAATCAATATTTAATTATTGAGAATTGGAGCAAAAATTACCTCAATTTTTATTATTAATACTTAAAACGATTTGTAATTATTTATGTTTTCGTTTATTTTAGATGCAAATCAAATGAGATTTAAAGCCGAATCAAAAACAAGGGTTTATTATTTAAAAATTAATTTCATTTCCGATTAAATTCAATACAAAATTACAACCAATTAAGGCATGAAATAGTAATAAAGAAATCGATTATTTAAGGCTTTTTTACGAGCTATTCGTGTGAATACAAGTCCCAAATGAAAAGCCGTTTTTATATGGACTCAAGTTGTTTACGGTTTGTATTTAAATTGAAAGTTAATTATAATTTAGTTTTTAAAGTTGTTTTGTTATGAACTACTCTTTGGAAATAGATTTTCCACTTTAAACCCCCAAACGCTTCGTTCAATTGTTTTGTACAAAACTTGAGACACATTTTAAACGTATACTTCTTCTCCTGTTTGTTAACCTATTTATACGATATATTAATATCAATACTATTATTATATAATTATTTCTCTTTCTGATAGTAAAGTGTTTTTGATTTATATCTTCTGTTTGCAAAAAATGGTCTGAATTTTTACGACATTTTAGTTTTATTCCGCAAATATTTTTTGCCGGTTTTGGAAATTTTTATTTATTTCCTTTTTTATATAATAAAATATACCGTAATTTTGTGATTAATAGGAATTTTTGGAAATTAATTTCAAAGTGAATAATAAGATATGTTTTCAAAACATGAAGTTTATTCAGAAATTGTGTTTTTATTTAAATAAAAAGTTGATTTTTAAAGCAGATTTTATAATTAATTAAAATATATTAGAATTATTTTATGGAAAAAATGTTTATTCAAAGTAAAAACAAAAACTCATCGCAAGTTTGTATGGCTTTTAATAAAAGGGGTCAACAAAATGCAGACGTGATTCGCTCGTCAATCCTATCATTTCATATATGATTTATAATGTAAACCTTAATTATGAAAATCACTGAATTTATTAATTTAATAACATTTAATGTGAGAGAAAACACTCCGGTTTTTATATGTTTTAATTGTTTTGTCTTTTGATACCATTTTCAATGTTTAACAACTAGTGTAACATTTTGTCAGTAATATTATATTGTTTGTATAAAAACTATGTATGTCTTCATACGAAACAACACAAAGACATTTGTCACTGAATTCATATATAATATTAACAATAATTATGTGAAATAACCTCCAATTAAGTAAAAGTCAAATCTCTTGAAGTCCTCAACAATTCGTGACCAAAGCTATGATTTGCGAAAACTCGATGAAAAAAGTGGAACTTTTAATACACTTTTATTTTGAATGACATTAGAAAATAAGTTGTAATTTTGGTTTACTTTCGTATTGCTATAGAATGTGAGTTTAAATTACGGGTTACAGAGAAGTAATAATAATAGTAATAAATATATTAGATATGTTTGAAATGAAATGTGAATTTTATTTATTATTTTTTTCTCTCTCGTTGTTTGGCTCTCAGTGTTGGTTAAGAAAGTTAGTCAACGAGTTATTCCTAAAATAAAAGGCACTCTCTTTGGGGTTATAACCCAGATATCGGTTTTGTAATGATTTGATATAACGGTATAATATTTATATAAAAGTGTATCTTTTTGGGTAAGATTTCTGTTGATTTTATCTATATATTCAATAAACTGAAAAATATTTTCCACTTTTCAATTGTCTATTGTTTAAAATCTTAACACAATATACAGTATATGTATAAATCGTTGGCACTTCTTATCAGTGAAAGTAAGAGATAGAGGGAAAGAAATAGACGAGTGTTTCGTACATTTGAAATGTGTTGAGATTTATTAGAAATGAAATACTAATCAAAAGTGAAATTCTTAACCTTTTTTCTCTTATTGTTGTTTTGATATATAAATGAATATATATTTTATGCATTTTCTGTAATCTAATTGCAAATTATGCAAAACAAAACATGAAAAAGTAATTTAATAATGGTTTATTTGTTTTTTAAGCCAACCCTTCCCAACCATTTCCAGTGGTTAACAATCGTTAACATTATCACAGATAAGCTGATGAGCAAACCATTCAAACAGAAAAATAATTATATTTTAAGACAAAATGCTTATGCAATCAATCATTGTCTCCGCGATATGGCTATCGTATAGATTAGGCTTAATTGAGTAAAAGCCTATTTGGTTTACAAATACAGACTAATTGAGACAATGAGTGGGTTTAATATGAAAGTGTGTTCAACACAGATGGAAAGAGAGAGAGAGAGAGAGAGAGAGAGAGAGAGACCCACTCTTACACGAAAGGCTTTTACACACTTTAATTAAGTACTGATTCATAAGATTTGTGTAATAAATATAAATTATTTTATACAAAAAAAGTGGAAATAATTTTCTAAATGGAAATTCTTATTCATGTAATCAATAATACATTTGTCACACAAATCCTTGTACTCTATGGCAGTAAAGTATAGCAACAAAAAGTCTATACGATTTTGAAACCATATATTTAAGTCATTACATAATCACTTAAATGTCCAGAAAATAATCCATTTATTAATTTTCACTATATATTTGCTGTACATTTTGTCATTACATTATGATTTATGTGACAAATATGGCATTGATTTTGTGTTTTAATGTCATTATTTAAAAATACGCTCCTTTTTAATGAAATAAGGCTTTTGGACAGAAAAGGAGACACAAGTCTGGGAGGAATGTGGGGTTCAGTTGATTGTGAAAAACAAGGAAAGTGCCAGAAGGAGGAAAGCCGCCTATGTTTAGCATTTTAATTAGCCTTTGATTAACAATACATGATAAAAATTATTGCATAAACGCTACAATAAAATATCGTAACTTAAATGCTAATCATTAAAGAAAAACTTGATAAACGTTTTTAAAACTCAACAAACACTTAATCCAAGGATTTTTGGGTTTAATTTTTAAAATACAAACCCTTTTGGGCTTATATTTCAGGAATCATTTTATATGTTGTGATAATTATTTTGATAAATTAAAATCTATAATACATTTTGATATTTTCTTTTCCTGTATTTAGATTTCGTGAGTTAATTAATTTTGTAGTTATTTTTTATATTGTTTTGTTGTTTAATCACTATTTGCATAATCCTTTACATGAAATGGTCGGTAGATTTATGTTCACTGAAAGACCACTTCAATCACTTCAACCATTAAATCTCTGAAAAGCATTTTTACGCTGAAAATAACCGAACGATAAAACTTTAATTCAATGAATAAATAAATTAAAAAACATTTGTTAACAAAATAAAATTCACGCAAAAATTCATAAACAAATAAAAGCATGGATGGCATCGATGGACAAATATTGTTGCTAATTATTTATTCACTTTGTATGTGAATACGTTTTGTGAATATAGTTTTACAGAAATATTTTTGAAAATATTTTGCAAATAATTTGCTTCCGTATTATTACGTGAAATAGTCTGTCAAACGGGTGTTAACTCTACTAAAAAATAATCATTTCATTGAGAATTTTGAACATTTTTTCCTTTTATTCAATGCTAGACATCAAAATCCAAGTGTAATCTCACGAGAAATCCCATATAAAAAATAGTTGACTCAATGTTTGACTACTGTTTAGAAGAGAAAAAAGTTTGAGGAAAATATTTTGACAGAAACTGTCTCTTGAATACAATTGAATGCAGAAAAACAGATATACAGCAAAATTATTGTGGAATATATGTTATGAGAGTTTTGTAAAAAATATATAACAAAAACTAAACTAATCTTGAATTTCAATAACCTTTGTATTTGGTATGAAATATACTTGACTTATATTTTCTCACAATTCATTTCATCCTCTCGTAAAGTCTTGTTAAAAATATTTGTTAACAAATTATGGCAATCAATGTGTTGATGACTTTTGCCATTTATTACAGCGAAAACATTTGCATTAATCAAAACCACTGAAAAGTTTTGAATGTTTTATTTTGAGAGCAATTTTTTCAAAAATATCAAACAAACACTCTTTTAGCACAAAATCTCTTTATTAGGATTACATCCGAAATACGGTTTTTCAGAAAATAAAGTAATGATTATATTATTGTAATTTTATTCCTATATATTTAATGATAGCAATTATATAAAACCGATTTCATTGATAACAAGTTTATTTTAGAAATCATTTATACATTTCTAAACCAAATGTTTGTTTGAATAACATTTTATATTAAAAATATTTTGCCATTAAATGCATCTCAAAGGAGATAATAAGAGATTTTAAAACTAGTTTTGCATTTATTTTAAGCACTGAATAACGTGTTGTTCGTCCAATTGCTGTATTTCCGACTCCGTATACCTGAGCACCGATTGAAGCACTTGTCGGGTGTGTTCGCCCAGCAGTGGTGGGGCCGTGAAGTCGGTGCCCAACATCTGCTGTTCGCTCTCATACTTGACGGCCGATCCCAAAGTCTTGATGCGATCCCCATTCTTGCCCTCCATCTCAACCACACTCTCGTTATGTATGACCTGTGGGTCGGCGAAGACGTCGTCAATATCATTGATGGGTCCGTAAGCGAAGCCGCACTTCTCCAACACTTGAAGCCAATGAGAGAGCGGTTCGGTTAGGAATCTGTTGCCAATCATTTGTATCAAAAGCACTCTATTCTCCACTCGTTTGGCATTACTTGAAAAGCGGGGATCGTTTGGCGCCTCCTTTAAATCAATCAATTGACACAGTTTTCTAAATGTGGGCTCATTTATGGCACCGATTGTCACGTATTTTGAATCCTTGCACTTAAACGCCTGATAAGGAACTATACTTTCGTGCGCTGTTCCGCGGCGTTTGGCTTTCAGACCGCAATTTAAGTAATTGGAGGCAACGGTCGTCAGGACACTGACCTGACTCGACAATAGGTTGGCGTCGATTTTGCATCCCTTTCCGTGCCTTTCCCTATGGAAAAGTGCCGTAAGTATAGCGCCTTTGGTGTAGAGGGCTGTCATCAAGTCAGTGATGGCAACGCCCGGCCGACACGGCTCGCCGTCTTCCGGGCCAGTAATGGATAGCATTCCGCCGATAGAGTTGGCGATAAAGTCAATGCCAGCCCTCTTAGCGTACGGACCGCTGGAGCCAAAGCCAGTGATGGAGGCGTAAATGATTTTGGGATTCACTCGTTTGACACTCTCGTAGTCGACACCCAATTCTGTTAGTTTTCCCGGAATATAATTCTCCACAAATATATCGCACTCTTTGGCCAATTCTAGCACTAATTGTTTGCCTTTGGGTTTCTTTAAGTCAATGGCAACGCTCTGTAAATGAGATTTATTTTTGTGAAATGAAAAACTGTTTTTTGTTTTTTTGTTTATAAGTAAGAAATATAGTGAGAAAAGTTGCGAAAAAACTTTCACACAAATTATAGACTAGTTTTGAGTCTTAATAAAACTATAGTAAAAAAACTGATGCCAAAGGAAATTCTCACTCAATAGAGATAATCACTATTTTCTAAACCAATAATTTATTTTTGAAAATTAATATAATTTTAATATCGGTTTTTCGTTCACACAATTAATTTCAACGCAATCTCTCGATTAAAACGTTATGTTTTTCATATATTTATGATTTTTTGTTGGCTTTTATAATAAAAATAAATTAAATGTTACGATCGGTAGTAAATAATTGTATAGATTTTTGAAAAGCTATTTATTAAAATCTAAATTTATGGCAAAATTACTGTAAAATAGATTTTTCTCATTATATAAGAGACGGAAAGTGATCACACTTTCTATTGAATGAAAAAACTACTCTTAAAATCTAAATTATAGTAATTTTAAAACTAGTATTAAATATAAAACTCAATTTTTAGTCAAAGAAAAATAAAGTAAACTATAATTTAATGCCTTTTTATTACGATTAGCGGAAACAAAATACGCGGACATCTCGGGCGCGACAAAGGGTGGGCCCCACGCCCTGGTGTCGTCTCCAGTGCCGGGTCTTTCGACCTTGATCACTTCTGCGCCCAAATCGCCCAATAGTTGTGTGCAAAATGGTCCGGCGAGTATCCTGGTCAAATCTAACACTTTGATACCGGCGAGCGCACCGCCCGTCCGAGTGGACAGACTCCGGATGATTGTATGGGAACTAAACATTTGGTTTTAATTGTTTTGAAACACAATTATTGAATATATTTTGATTGACTTTTGCACAAAACTTCCAACAAAACTATTAATAAATGACATTTAAAACAAAGTTGAGTGTTAATTATCTATTATTATCTAATAAAACAAAGTGTCATTTATATTTTACTCATTTCTATTGATAAAAAGTATCAATGTAAAAATTAATAAATCATAAAACAACAAAATGAACGGTTTGTAATGTTTAAATATATGCCATTTGTAACGCAAAATGTTTTAAAAGGAAAGTAATATTTAATTATTATTTATAACTCAAAGTGAATTAGTACTGAGCCTGTAATTGAAAGTGCTATCCGACGGACCAGCTATTAATGATTACCATTGGTTACAATCGACAAAACAATAATTTATTTTAGTTGTAATCTATGTTTTAAGAGGAAGTCCTTCACAAATGCTGAGATGAGTTAAGATTGACATTTGTATTACATGAATGTCGTCTTGTTTATATCGGTTACAAATACTATAATTTAATTTTATAATTCAGTGCATTAATGTCATTTTGGTAACGGCATTAATGGTAATGGTAATGGCATTAATGTCAGTAAGTTATTAATAATAACTTATTATATTTATATTAATAACTCACAACACGTATTAATTAAATGATTAAAAATACAACTTTTAAATGCCATAAGTATTAGATTTTGTAAAAAAAACTCAAAAACGCGTTCAAATGCAAAATAAGTGAATTTATGGTACATTTCCATTACAATCGCATGGTTTGAATGCGAAAAACAGTTTAAATAATTGATTTTATTGACAGATTTTAAAGGCGCTAAAATATTTTACACTAAATATTTGGTTTAATTTATTTCCCAAACGTTTTGAAAATTTATTTATTATTCATCGATAGAAATACGTGTAAAAACTTTTAAAATAAGTTAATGCATAAAAACTATTAAATCAAATCAATAAAATGATAACATTATAGCAAATTATGGTAGATTTGGGATACATTTAAATATTCACTTTAATTTAGACTTAATTTTGTATATCAAATACAGTAACTGTGAATCCGAAAGGCTATATCACTAGAGATCCGATTCTTATGGACACTAATTTAGTATAACTTGGCTTTTAGTTTATCACAAATATATTTTTTAAAATTAAGACTTTTACAATAGTTGATAATCAGTTTATTATAATTTATAAACATATTGCATATTAATACATAAAGATACACTGTAAATACATTATATCCTTAGTCTGTCCTTAATATAAATATAAACATTTTTTTAAACTTAACATTATTTCTAAATTTACATAGATTTAATAACAATTGCAATACTAGATTGAATTTCATATTTAAATCTAAACATTTATCAATCATTTTTATGAACTTTCAATATTTTAGATAACATTATTAATACAATCAATGTATACTATTTCTTCAATAGTTAAAGTTATATTGATAAAAAAGTGCAAAAATTATGTATATTTTTAAATAATCAAAATATATTTAGT